ATCCCACTGTGGAACGAGTGGGCGTGAAACCGGCCTATGTCTTTGTACACCTTTTAGAAACCGCTTCATCAGCGGGTGATTAAAAGCTGTTCTGTCTCCGAACCCTTCGTGGCAGGAAGAGATGGCTGCAGCGTACGTTTTAATCGTGCTGAATGCCAACTCCCTATCCATCAGCTGTTGAAGAAAGGACAGCACGCCACCTAATGGACATGAGGTGGCCTCCAGACCTTTCTCTGTACACCAGCGCTGAAAGGCCGTCCACTTTGATGTGTACAGGGCTGTGGTAGATGCAGCGCGTGAATCTTGAATTGTGCGCACTACCTCCTGAGGGAGACCCATCTTCTCTAAGCGGGACCGCTCAGCGGCCAGACCCACAGGTGCTGGCCTATTTCCGGGTAACTCCTGATCGCTCCTCCTGCTTGAAGGAGAGCATCTTCCCTCCATGGCAGTTTCCACGGACGACCCGACAACAGACGTTGCAGGACTGGGAACCATGGTGCGTTCACGCGCTCGGGAGCTACCAGGAGAGCTGTCAGTCCCTCCTCCTGAACTCGGTTCAGGAACCGTAAAATCAGAGGGGGAGGGGGGAACGCGTACAGAAGCGTTTTGGGCCACGGGCTGTGGGCAAATGCATCCACCCCCAGCGGTGGATCGTCTCGTGGGCTCAGGGAAAACCATAATTGGCACTGAGCGTTCTCTCGCGTCGCAAACAGGTCCACAGCTGCTTTGCCAAACTTCTGCCACGTCTGAAACATCAGGTCTGGATGGAGGGTCCAGTCCGCGTGACGTGGGCCGCCCCTGGACATCACATCTGCTCCTCTGTTCAGAACGCCGGGTATGTAAACCGCTCTGATGGAAAGCAGATTTTGGTGAGCCCAACACAGTAGCTTCCGCGCAATGTGTAACATCTGGGCTGAACGCACACCCCCCTGGCGGTTTATGTACGCAGCAGTCACCATGTTGTCTGTGTGAATCAACACGTGTTGATTCTGTAGCACGGGAGCAAAATGCTGAATCACGTTCAGCACTGTGCGACACTCCAAAACATTGATGTGGGCTGATGTGTGGTGGGGCCACAGCGCCCCTACTGCTTGAGACAAGCATGTCCCCCCCCAGCCTGACAGCGACGCGTCCGTGAAGACTGACACGTGTGACGAGGGTTTGCTGACGGGGACTCCCTCTGACAGAACCAGGGTGTTTCCCCAGTGTCGGAGGTCTGCTCTCACGGAGGGAGGGACAGTGATCATCCGTCTCTTTTGTTTTACTGGATCCACACGTAGACGCGCAAACCACCTCTGGAGGCGTCTCATGTGTAACAAACCCAGCGGAACCACTGTGTGAGCTGATGACATCATTCCCAACAGCTTCATGACGGAAACAGCTGTTACCACTTTGCCAGGTCTTACGTGGCGTAGTTGGTTTTTTAGAGTGTCGATTCTTGTTTGTGATAAGCGAGCCGTCATGGTAATTGAATTTAATTCCACTCCCAGATAAACAATTGTCTGGGCCGGGAAAATCGAGCTTTTCTTCCAATTTATGGCGAAGCCCAGATTTAACAGGTGTGATGCCAACACCTGAGCCTGTATCAGCGCTTCCTGTCTGGAGTGAGACAGGAGCAGCAAGTCGTCCAGGTAAAACAAAACTCTCATCCCTGCTCTGTGCAGTGGATGCAGGGCTGTCTCCACACACTTTGAGAACGTACGAGGCGCGAGGGAATACCCGAAAGGCAGCCTGTTGTACTGGTACTTCATCCCTTGAAAGGCGAAACGCAGAAGTTTTCTGTGTTTTGGGATGATCGGTATGTGAAAATAAGCATCTTTTAGATCGATGGAAACAAACCAGTCGTTTTTCTGGATGTTGTCCAACAGCTGTCTGTTCGTCAACATGTGAAAAGGTCTGTTCATGATTGCTTTGTTGAAAGCTGACAGATCCAGAATCGGTCTCATCCCTCCGGTCCTTTTGGGGACCAGGAAGTAGCCTGAGTAAAACCCTGTGTTTTCCTCTTCGTTGGGAACTCTTGAGATTACACCTTTTATCAGAAGCTCTTGGACTTCTGCATTTAAGGCTGAGACTTGGTCTGGTGATGACAGGACTGTCTCTATAACTCCTCCGAACGGAGGGGGTCGGGTTGCAAACTGCAGCGTGTAACCCTTGCATAACACTCTGTCCATCCATCTGTCCGGCGAACAGGTTTTTTTGCCACTCTGCGTAACGTTCGTGGAGTGGACGTGCGTTTAAATGATGTGCCGTGTTTTGAACGGATGTCATCCAAACCTCCGCCTCGACCGCCGTCATGCGTCGCGGAAATGTTTTCCGCGTGACCCAAGGCGAGGCCTCCTCGAAAGGGCTGATCTGCGCGCGCCCGTGCGCTGTGTCTGGATCGCGGACCAACCTTCATGTCCGGGCGGGGCGGTGTGTGCTGAGGCGAGGCGTGTGTCAGCTGATGACGTCGTGAGGCTGCACGTTTAACGTCGCTGTGCGAACGTTGGGAGGTGGAGGGCGTGACGTCATCAACGCCGTGCTGTCGAAGTGAAGGTTGTGAGCCTCGCGGGAGCGCACGTTTTCTCTGGAGGGACGCGCGCCTCTCTCGCTGAGGGCGGGGCCCGTCATTGGATTCATTCAGCTGTCTCACGCTTATGCCGCCGTGAGCTGCTGATCGCTGAGACGCGATGGATGACGGCCGCTCGCGTTCGCTCAGGAGAGGCGTGTGTTGTTTTCGCTGAGAGCGGGGACCTCCACCGGACCCGGCCTGCGGTCCCACATTTATCCCGATGTGAGCCGGTGAGCGCCGGGCAGCTGTGCGTGCATCATCAACACAGCGCCGTTTGGATGGAGGCTGTTTGCCTCGCTCGGGTGCGCGTTTAACACCGCTTGGGTGGTGATCGTGCGGTTCTGATTGACAACAAATTATTTCGCTTACCGTGGTGTCACGTGAGCGTCTGGGCATGTGATGGAGCGACGGTGGATTTAAAAAACCTTTATTTAAGGACACCGGCTCTCTCTGTGTGGAGGATGTGTGTGTAGTGGCTGTGAGCTCATCCGAACTTACAGACTGGCTAAAAACAGGCATTTTGATTTTTGAAAAATCATTTATTTCAATTCCTGTGTCATTTATACACACATCCTCCGCAGACCGTCATTTCTTAAATCTTCTCCCTCGAGAGCTCTGCGGTTTGTTTGCCCCGAGCGCCGTCTGCAGGCAATCTCTGGGGAAACGCTGAAGTGCAGGCTGCCGGACTGAGGAGGGGTGGTCTCTGGCGGGCGGGGCTGGTGGTGGAGCTGGGCGAGTGCAGATTCTCCGGCAGCGAGGGGAGTAACGAAGCCAGGTGGGTCGATGGATCATCGTCATCCGCGCTACAGTCCTCGACAGGCAAACCGTGGGAGAGGCACACATGTTGAGCTGGCGTCAGCTGCCTTACAGAGGGAGTTCTTCGTCTCCAAGGCAGGTCTGCGGCCTTCAGTCCCTTGGACATGCTATATGCTAGCAGCGCACGTTGTTGCTAACTGCGGCTGCCTGAAAACACGTCGGTGGGCTCGATTGGAGAGCGTGGTCGCCGTCTGGTTCCTCCGGAGGGACGGGACGCTGCTCCGACCTGGGCAGCTTCGCTCCGGAAGCTTCCGCGAGGCTTGGCTCCAGGGGGGGTTACCGAGGAATAGCCCCGCTCGGTGAATCCCTCAACTCTGGTGATGGGAGCGGACTGGGGACCGACTCCTCTAATCTACCAGGAAAGAACCGTCTGCGGCCTCGCCCGTCGAACATCCTGTTGGAACGTGAGGCCGTATGGATCAAGACGGTGAGCCACAGTGGAGCCCAGTGAAAAACAACCTTTCCGCCGATCATCCGAACTGGCGGGAAAAGGCGAGGGACGTAGAAAAAAGGGGTCCCTTCATGTCAGCCTCCTCCTGGGTTCCGCCGGGCAACCCCTGAGGGCGCTGTCGGCCGGGAGCGGTGTGATCGCCGATGCGAAATGAGGTGGGATGGGGTGAGCATCCACTCAGCCCCCCTCCACCTACACTACGCTCCCCAGGAGGGAATGAGCAGCGGGGGCTGCAGCTGAGCACGCCTTGCCCCGGAGGAACCATCCGGTTCGCCCCGAGGGTCGGCGATAAGAGGAAAAACACAAGATGGCGTTGTCCAGCGTGTAGTGACCTGTCACTGGGAAATGTTCCCCGACGCTTACCTTGGAATAAGACTGCTGTCATCTTCTCCTCGGGGAGGAGAACTCACCGGACGACCGGAGGTCGACTGCCGGGCCAAGCATCCTTCACAAGGTTGGTCATTTACACAATTTATCTTCTTTGTTCTTCTGACAGTGCTATATTAGCTCGCTGAAGAAAAAATGGGAGCCGATTTTCCCGCTCTTAACGTAATTTATACGGACCGGGTGGGGCCCACACAGCAGGTGGGCGTGGACTAATTTTTTCAGTGCTTATGCTCTGCATAACGGGATAAACCCACTAAAGCGAAGGCCTTAAAGGGCGAAGCTTATACGACATAGAACTGGAAGTGGCAGAAATGATGTTGAGGTTCTCCTTAGGAGTGACAAGTATGGATAAGATTAGGAATGAGATCATCAGAGGTACAGCACAGGTTGAACAACTGGGAGATAAAGCTAGAGAGGCCAGACTGAGATGGTTTGGTCATGTCCAGAGGAGGGACAGTAGTTTGGACATGTCCAGAGGAGGGACAGTGGTTTGGGCATGTCCAGAGAAGGGACAGTAGTTTGGACATGTCCAGAGGAGGGACTGTGGTTTGGGCATGTCCAGAGGGACAGTGGATATATTGGTAGAAGGATGATAGAAATGCAGCTGCCAGGAAAAATACAAAGAGGAGCTATATGGATGCAATTAGAGAGGACATGGAGGTAGTTGGAGTGAGGACAGAGTGAGATGGAGGAGGACTCGCTGTGGTGAGCCCTGAAGAGGGAAAAGCCGAAATAAATTTCATTAACCTTTATTTAACCAGGAGTAAGCTGAGTTGTTTAAGTTCTTCTCTGCAGTGCACCAAATGGTGACTACAGCACCACCAGCCTGCAGTCTGTCAAAGATGAAGTGTTCATCAACATATTTGATGAAGTGGTTTATGAAATTGGAACAGTGAGTCTGCCTTTTCCCGTTCCCTCTCACATTTTTCATAATCACAGCTGCCTCTTCAGTTTAATTATTTTAACAACTTTGCTTCACAGAACACCAAAGAGCGAGGGTCATCTATTCACATGCAAATAGAGAAGCACTGGTTAGGCTCAGTCAAGATTCCTTTTAGCACAATTTTCTCTCAGTCCAAGGTGAGACTTTAACTCATCATATTAACTGACTTTTGTTCTTGCAGTTGCCTGAACCTGTGGCTGACGTGTCCTTTCTGTGTGTAACAGATTGATGGAGCTTTCAAAGTGAATACTCCAGCCGTGCTGTTGGGGTACAGCAAGGAGCTAGGCAGTTACAGTGTTTATGATAATTTCCGGAAACCCAGTGAGGGAACATTTATCAGACTCTTCATCACTGTTGAACCTCAGCTTGTGCCTGGAGAGTCGATTAGAGAGAAGGTAATGGTTAAGCATCAAGAGCTTACTTTAAGGTTTTATTGTACTTGGTTTTGGTTGCTGCATTTATTTTTTATATAAACACAATATATATTTTTTTATCATTTTGTGTCATTTATTGGCTTTGGCTTTGCTGCATGCTCTAGATAAGGGACGTGAAGGTAATTGTCTACTTTAGCTCTTATCCTATATTGTTTTACCCGTACATGTCTGCCCCCATTGTACCATGAACTGTCATTATTTTTTGCCTAACTTATCTGCTGTAACATTTTATTACAGTTTGAGAGTCAAGAGGATGAGCAATTACTGCAGGCCTCAGAGGCATTTGAGAGGGATGCAGCTCAAGGCTACCCAGATCGGCCCTGCATCACCACAGTCATAGACCTCAATGGGAAGACGGTTTTCATCACTCGCTTTATCCGTCCACTCAAGCCCCCACAGGAGTTCCTTGATGCATTTCCTAATAACCACCAGGAAGCCACGGTCTGTATGATTTTGCCAAATGTAAATTTGCTTCTGATTCATTTGAATTATTCACTTTCACTGTGTTCTTGCAGACACTGGTTGCTCGATTCGTCTCCCTCATCCCATCTCTGCCAGACCAGGTTTCATTCTCTGGGACCTGTGATTTGTGGAGCACCTGCGACGTGAGTGAGGCATCTTTGAAATGCTTGGAATAGTTCAAGGAAGGAAAACATCCGTCTTATCATAATATGTGTGTTTTCAATTTTTCTTTTCAGCAATTCCTTACTCTGCTAGCAGGAGATGAGGAAGAACATGCTGTGCTGTTGTGCAACTACTTTCTATATTTGGGCAAGAAAGCCTGGCTTATTATTGGTACAGCCATACCAGAGGTAGGTGACATTTACTTATTAAGCCAAAAATTATTTTAGATACTGTTGCAGTCAGCCATTTACATCCACTCATCATGGGTAGAATGTAATGTTACTTTTTGGTTTTTGTTAATTTATTTTAATTAATCTTCCCCCACGGCATAATGACAATAGAACACATAACGAACGTTATGTATGTAACTACGGTTCTATGAATCCCGGATGACTTGAGGTGCTGAAAGCACTGAATGTTCCCTTCACACACGTGCCGTTCGAGTAGTAAGTCCAACGGAGTCACAGCTGTGACACAGATGACCAATCAGAGGTTATATAGCCTGAAGTCATCTGCTGCTCTGCTCCTACAGAATCTTCTCGTGGAATCTGAGTGACAGAGAAGCTCTGGTGGTCATCTGGGATTCGTAGAACCGTAGTTACAAACGTAACTGACTGCCAAAGGGCAGTGCTGAAAGCACTGAATGACCAATACCAGTGATGTCACAAGGAATTCTGAGCACATACCTCACTGAGGAGGCCCAGAGGACCCTTGCAGAAGAACCTGGCCAAGGGATGAGGGGTGGCCACGCGAATGCTGTAAAATCTGGTGAACATGCTTGGGGAAGCCCATATTGCTTCCAGCGGAACCCCTCTCAGGTCTGCCCAGGAAGCGGAGATGCTCCTGGTAGGGTGCGTCTTCACGCCGACCAGCAGGGGGCCGTGCCCTGCGGCATAGGCATGGCAGATGATGTTCAAGATCAAGTGGGAGAGGTGCTGTTTGGAAAGAGGACAGCCTAACCTAGGGCCTCCGTAACACACAAACAGCTGGTCTGAACGTCGTATAATGGCAGTAGCGGCAATGTATGCCTCCAGTGCTCTCACTGGGCACAATAACCCAGACCCATCGCCAGCCACCCTGGCGTAGGCTGAAAACATGCCAGCTTCCATGGTTGGTTACAGTGAGAGGGAGATAACACCTTTGGTACAAATGCAGGGTTTGGCCACAAGGAAACACCAGAGCCCTCAGGGCCCCACCTGAGACATGAGGGGCTGACAGAGAGCATGTAGCTCGCCGACCCTCTTTGCCGCGGCAATAGCCAACAAAAAGCCGTCTTATATAGGGGTGCGAATCTCTCAGTGTCTGGCAATCCGATTCGATTCCTTTTTTTGTGTGTGTGTGTGTGTCACAATACGATTCAAAATCGATTTTTCGATTCGCAAACGATTTTCGATTCAGAAACGATTTTTCTATTGAAATGGTTATACATTTTGTTTCATTTATAATGTATATGTAACTGACAAGCTGAAAAGATTAAACAACATTGTAAACAAATAGAACATTTATTTAAAACAATCATTTTAGGTTCCTTACTGTATCAAATCTTTTTGATTCATTTTATATTTATACCAAAAGTAGGAAAAAATAATAGAAATGCATAAAATTCTGTAACTTAAATTATCAGTATTAGGTTAGCTTAGTTGTCTGAATTAAAAAAAAATAAATAAAAATCTAGGAACAAATAATTCATCCATCCATCATCTTTACCCACTTCTTCTTTTTCGAGTCACGAGTGTCACTGGTGCCCATATCAGCCATCACTGTGTGAGAGGCGGGGGACACCTGGACAGGTCTCCAGTCCATCACAGACAAATAATTCAAAATATATAAATATAAAAGTAAACAGACTTCAGCCTACCATACATAGTATATTAACCTTTAACTCAACATAAAATACAGACTTCAGTTATTTTTAATCATATTGCTCTAATATTTGTTATATTTTCAAAACTTAACCTAATATGAAATATACAGACTTCACAGTCTTAACCATATTGATTCATATTTAGTAAATCTTTAACAAAATTTCAAAACCTGTGCAAACCTGCACAAAATCTCTTCTGAGCTATAATTTATAAACCATCTAAACAGTATAATTTAGAACTGGCTCCAGGTGATGTCTCATCTATCCTCTTCAACCTGCTAAAAAGACAAATTACATTAAGTTTGTTTTATAATTTGTCTATAAGTTTTAGTATAATATGAGAAAAAACACTTACCTTTAAGCTGCAGATGCATCAGAGCTCCCATTCGTTGTTTCATGGTGAAGTTGTGGTGCTGCTTTATCGCAAAAAAAAAAAATCTACATGAAGGAATAACGTACATTGAATCCATCGTATTAAAAATAAACCTAAACCCCTCACCTTCCACTGAGCTGTCTGCTCATAAATCCTTTGTGATATAGCAGGAGAAGGAGAGGGAAATTATCGCAGCCTTTGGGGAATCAGCTGGAAGTTTGTTGCAGAGTTCGCTGGTCGGCTGCTTTAGCTTTCATCTTCCGTGAATTTTGTCGTATTTCCAAAATACTGTACCGCAATTTTATTTTATGCTTCTTGTAAACAACCTGCTCTTGTGAAGCTCTGTCTTCCCCCGGAACATTGTAGGATCTGAAATGATTTTTAAAGACGAAGAGGCGGGTTGAATCGCGCTGTCTCCCTCCTCCATGTTAGCAGCCTCCATTCAGATAAAAGGAGCTGGCTAACTAATTTGCTGTACAGTGGCCTACACGGCTCAATTCTACGGCGGCCGAACAGGGAGTAGGAGCGGAAAAAATATAAAACTTAAATGCATTTTAAAATTGATTTATGGACCTTTAGAAATTATTCAGAATCGCCAGGACTAAGAATCTAGATTCTTTGAAAAATCTTTTTTTTTCTGCACCCCTAGTCTTAGATGAAAGCCACTTGAGATCCGTATGCATCAGAAGCTCGAACAGAGGGTGGCACAGAGCTTCGAGAAGCAAGGGCAGATCCCAACCTGGTGCTTGTGGCGCCGTTGGCGGGTACAACCTACGGACACCATGCAGAAAAAGAGAGGCTAGATTATGGCTCCCCACCATACAGCCATCAATGCCAGCATGATTAGATGATATTGCTGCTACATAAACTTTAAGCGTCGAAGGAGAGCGGCCCTAACCAAGGAGAGACTGGAGAAACTTCAGAATGGTGGGTACTGTACAGGAGACTGGATTCTCATTGCAATCAGAACACCATTGGGAAAACAGACGCCACCTGTTTTCGTACTGCTGATGCGTAGAGGGTAGGGAAGGGGCCGATCTGGTATCGTATCGGCCTCCGATACCAGCATAATTTACGTAGCGGATTTTTCCAATCCAATCTGCAGAGATTTCCGATCCATGATGCATGTCTGTGTCTGATGAAATGTCTGTGTCTGATGAAATGTCTCTATATGAGATTCCCTGCCAGCTGTTCTGCAAGTTGGCTTCAAACTATGGAATGGATTTCCTGAACGGAGGTGTGTCTCATGAAACCCAGAGTAATAAGACCCACCTCACATTCAGGAAATCCATTTCATAGTTTGCAGCCACAGATATGTTTGCAGCCAGCTACAACATGAGGGCTGAGCACTGAGCAGCACTGTTGCTAACGGCTAACCAACTTTTCATCGTAACATGTCCACTGTGTGGAAGTATTTTACACTAAACACCGCAAGACAGCAACGTGCAATGTCTGCAGAGCCGCTGTACCGAGAGGGGGACACTCGGTCGCGACCTACAATACAACGAACTTAATAAACATTTGAAAAAGCACCACATTAAAGAGCACAAGGATTATTTAGCCACGCACCATGGTAAAGTTAGCTTTATGTTGGACGTTCGAGCTCCTTGGCTTCAGCGGTCTGTTTCTCTCATTCAGTCCAAAGCAGACAGTCTGATTTCGGTCAGCCGCTCTCAGTCTGCCCATCTCAGAGGAGGAGCAGACTGAGCGCGGCTGACTGAAATCAGACTGTCTGCTTCGTAGCTTGATTGAATATTTGCAGCCAAGATATAGTTTACGTTTACCCTCCCAGGAGATATTTATAGCTCAAGATGAGAGTTCTGTGATGGAGTTAAATTCAAAGCAGTCTGCTCTGATAAATAGTCTTAAATTATTATTTTTACATATGAATGTTTCTATTAACTTATTTTAATGTTTCTGTACAATGCCCTGAAATGACTTCTGTTGTGACTTGGCGCTATATAAATAAACTGAATTGAACAGACAATCATAAAAAAGAATATGAACCGAAAAATAAAATAAAATTATAAAAATAAAATAAAAACAGCTACATTATAAAGCAATGTAAAATACTAACAACAGGAAAATGTCTGTGTTGGTTTATGCCTTAAACTTAGCATATGTTTGAAGCCATTTTTTTCTTGCTATTCTACGGTGAAACCAGACGTGTTTTCCCTCTCTGCCCCCCCACCCGCTTCCCTGCTGCGCTCTTTTGTCCTGTGAACCCTTAAAAAGCCTCTTTTTTTTCCTGCATACCTCTTAATTGGAAGGATCAGCTGGTCTCTCAACAAAATCGATCAACTTCTCCCGACAGGAGTCAGGGTAAGGAGGACACTCCTTAAAATTGGATTCATGATGACGACTAGAATCTACTGTTTGGGTTGGTGGAATCTGGTTGTCTACAAATTCGTGTGGAGATGTTGAAGCTTTACAGTGCTCGGACTGAATGTGGAGCTGTGACAGGGAATTGGAGCAGCTGTATCAGGACTGTGTTCTCCCTGGCAGCACTCATGAATGGTGGGAATAATCTGGAGAAGCTGTGAGCTCAACCTTTGGAGTAAAGGATCAATTCGGCTGTTTTGGAGTTTCCATCAGAGAATATCTACCAGTGAGACTTTAAAGGCAGAAACAACAATTACGAGTTCTGCCTGACCCAAACTGTGGCCTTGATGCCGGACTTATCTCAACTCCTGGAATGTTTTGAAAACAACAAAGATGCTTTGACTGTTTCCTCACCCCTCCCTTCCCCAAGGCCGTGGACGTGTAACAGAACCTCAACTGAGCTGAAGATAAATGTCACCTCTTATCTGGACAATGGCTGAGGGGGGGGCTCTGGACTATGCTATGACTTTCCCTTAAAAATTCAATGTTTTCACCGCCTATATGTAAATGCATAACATCTGTTTATGTTGCTTTGCTGTGGTAGGCTTTTTTGATGCTTCAAATTGTGC